GGCATGCTAGAAAATTAAGCTTTGGTGTGGTTGTTCACATGTATTAAATTGGGATTAATTGCATGAGAATTGCAACATTTATTTTATATTTAACTTTAGTGAAAATTTAATTTACATAAGTGTAACTTGCATGAAATAAGCTTGAAATGTGATATTACATTAGTCCTTGGCATATTCTCTAAGATATGTTAAATTGAGAGCATTTGGTTAAGTTTGAAAAATCTAGAGATTTTAATTAAAAGAATTAATTAAAATCTATTTCGTGGTCCCATTAGCTTAATTAAGGTTTTAACTTGATATTTGTATTGGCCATGACTTGTTTACTAGTATATATTAATTTGGGACTATTAGAAATTGTTTTAGAACCTTGGGATTTAAATTAGTATGATTTAATTAAAGTTCTACTTTGTTGTTCTAACAACCTAATTGAGTTTTAGAATGAATATAGGTGATGACCTTGCCATGCCCTTTAACATGTATTAAATTGAGGTTAATTGAAATTGAATCAGAAATCTAGAGAATTTAATTGTGTTTATCTATTTAAATTCTATCAATTTGCTCCATGATCTGGTTGTATTTTAAAAGTGGTTTCTATATTTAAATCATGGACTTAGACTTGTTGTATATTCATTTGGTTATGTTTTGAACATTGGATAACATAGTTGCTATGCTTGTATTAATGAGAATATGTTTTTCTTATTAAATATATTGTTGCCTTGTGTAATAATTTGCACACTTCGTATTTAACATCATTCATGCATAGCGTGTAACGAATCGCACACTGAAGATTCGACATTCATCACATCATATTAGTTGTGGACTTAAAGCATGGATTGTATAGGCTTCCAAATTTGGTTGTGCTTGGTAGATAGTTGTTTGACTTGGGGATGTCGTTGTTTGACTATGGTTAGGACGTGATTCTAGTACGAGGGATAGTCCCTCTATATGGTCTAGTGCGCACATAGGGAGGTTACCCATGGGCTAGTAACCCTAAAGTAACTATGTTGTCGGTCTGATCCGGCGTGATGTCCGAGTATCCACTTTGTTTGATTTCGCATTTCATTTTCAAGTTGATAACTAGATGATGTTGTAACTTGTTGTTTCTTATTTGTCGTTCCATTTTAAGTTACAGGATGTTAACTTTGCGAAATTATGCTTTATGCATTGTATTGGAAGTTCCAATGTTGGTTAAATTGCATCGATATTGAAAATCGTGTTTTAACGTTCTAATAAAGCTTATGATTGATCCTATTGATTCATTTATAACATAGACGTTAGGTGGCATGAACCACTACTGTTATTTTGTGCTTTAGATTCTAAGTTGATGGCTTTAAGAACTTAAACCTTGTTGCATTGTATAACATGCTCTTTTGTTGTTGAATTGCATGGATAATGTGATTCTTGTTAACTTGTATTCAAATATGCTTTTGTCATGTTATATGGATTACTCTAGACCTAGTTCAATTGTATTGAAAATGCAATTCATGTTAATCTATGCTCAAGCATTCTTCTTGTCGTGTTCTTTGGATTATCCCAACCATGATTCGTTTCATATACGAATGTATATCATGATTCTTGTTGCTTAGACTCTAAGGTAGCTTAGGATGCTCCCCGAGTCTCACTTGGACATAGACGTTAGGTGGCATGAGCCCCTTTAACATGTTTCACCTTAAGGTGATAAATTTGTAAAATGCTAGGTCGATGCATGCTCATCTCCTACGAGTAGCTTTATGTTACTCATCCCTATGATACTGGGGCATAATTCAGGTACGAAGACTTGGTTCGTGAAGCCTAGCATTCCTTGGATGTCGTGTAGCTTTCAAGTTTCCATTTTATGCAAATGCTAGCATGAAATGTCATTTTGTAGACTTATATGTCAAAATATGTATATTTGATTCCATGTATGTAATGTGTACATAAGTGCACTCCTTTCAATATATTTGAAATGTATGAGATGAGGCCGGAGGCCAATGACATGTATATTGTATTCTATGCAACTTTTTAACTTCATGAAATGTTATGAAAACCTTGAAAAATCGCAAGTCATTGCTTCACCATGGTTGCATCGGGTGTGGGAATTCTATTTTCATTCTTTCATAGGGTCTTGTTAATCTTGTATGAAGTGTGGCCAAGGGCCAAACGGTCATTTGACCCCGTTTTGTATTTTTGGATTCCGAGTTTTCATTCCAAGTTCCATTTTTGCCTTTTTGCCTGTTGGGGGGTCGGATTTTGTATCGGTGGTATATTTAAGTCGTGGACCATTGTAGCACGTCCAAATAGGTAAGTTACATTTGTGTGCATGGTCGTTTCTGGGCAAAACCTTATCGTTTGTGTTTTGAGCCTCTTGTGAATTCATTTCGCATTTTTTTTTGCATATTCTGATCTAGGGGCATTATGGACCTTTCACCTCAGTTTTATTTTCTTCTTTCGACATAGTCGCTTAGAAAATGTGATTTTAGGGGGGTTTCTTTTTCGTGTTTTTCCAGAAAACGTTGTCTTGGTACCGGAAATCCCTCGTGAAGTTTCAGCTTCCAGTTTTGATTTTGCAGCTTTATGACCCTCTTGTTCAGTTCTGATCTAGGGGCATTTTTGGGATTTCACAGTGAGTTTTTTTCGATTCCGTTCGTTATATTGGGTAGAAAACTCGATTTTTGGGGGGGTTTCTTCTTCGTGTTTTTCCAGAAAAACTCGTCTTGACCTCCGTTTCAAGCCTCAGCTCTGGGCAGATCAAAAAAAATGTAGCAGCAGCCAAGGGCTGCCACCATGCCATGTCTTTGGGCGCCGGCATGCACGCCGGTGGGCTCGCGCATGGGCGCCGTGTGCGCCATGGCCCCTCGTCGGGCCGCCGCGACGTCAATTATTCTTTTGGGCTTTTCTCCTTCGTTCGGACTCCGATTCAAGTGAATTTTTTTTTGACCTTGACTAATTTTTTGCTGTCTTTCCAACGGTGGGCTCGGTTGCACCCGGTTCTTCCTGGATAATTACCAGTTTACCCTTTTTGCCTTAAATACTCATTTTTCTTCATCATGCCGTTTCTCCTTCGTCCGGACTTCGAATCATGCAATTCTTGAGTCCATCTTGATTAGTTTTTCGTTGTCCTTCCAGCGGTGTGCTCATTGGCACCCGAATCTACAGTTTTCAAAAATTACTATTTTGCCCCTGGGGGCTTATTTGTCATATTTTCGATCTTTTGCTTCTGCATCAGTTCTTGTTAAGTTCCACGACCTCATGGAATGTCACTTTGACTTCTTAGAGTCTTGTTTTCTGTTTTTATTTCCGCATTCGGATCCATTATCGGATCATCCTTACGGTTCATCACAGGACACGCTGGCCTAAAAACCAGGGTCGTCACATTAGGGGGATACACTACATGATCTTGAGGATGGATTGGTATCATTGGAGGTTGTTGCACTTGATTGGGTTGTGGAAACATATTAGGATGAGGAATTCCCAAGGGTGGATGCACACCTTGAGGTGGATACCCACTAAGAGGATGATACACACCTAGATTATCCATATGCCCTATATCCTAGAAATGGTTTCCTATTAAGTGTGAGATAGTCAAGAATGGAAAGAATTCTCCTAGAAACAACAAACCACAACAACAATCAACAACAATTCACCACCTCCACATACGATGCTCCCATACTCCCATGTTATATTAATGCACAAAATTAAATTGCCTCCACACGGGCCAATGCTTTCTATCAAGAAAGTAATAGCCTCCTTTTGGGCTTATGCTTGGACAAGAATTTAAACAATGTGATAGCCTCGACAGGGGCTATCTCGCAAGCATGTAGAGAATTGAACAATTATAGTAAAAGAAATTCAAGGAAGCTCATGAAAGTCCGTAGCAACAATGTCACAATGGTGCCAAGATCCAATGCTCGCTCCTCTTCTTTTCAAGTACCTAATTGAACAAGAGGGATTTGTAAGAAAATAGTAATTTAAAGAAAACAATCAAATTAACCTTAATGCCTAATTCAATTCCAACTAAACCGTCAATCCCCGGCAACGGCGCCAAAATTATGATGCGAGCCTAGCGTGTGCACAAAATAATGCACAACACTTTGGTTTTGGAAATGGTATCAAGCGGGCATCATAGTTTACATTTATAAACCGCTAAACACTTATACTATGTAGTATGAAGCGAGTAGGGATCGTCCTAAGGGTTTGAACACGTGTTGGGATTAAACTTGGTTTTAAAGTTAATTAGATTGTGAAAGAGAGAAATAGAGAGAGAGAGTTTGAGATAAAAAGATTTTGGTGAATAATTAAACTAGAGTTCAATTGAAAGCAAGGAAATGGAAATGACATTGCAAGTAAATTAAATTAAATTAAACTAAGAATTAAAGAGATAGGAAAAGAGTCTTAGGGTTAGGATTCACCACTAAGCTCATGCAATTAACCATATGCTTTCAATTAATGGGGAATTCATTAGTGTAATTATAAATGTGGTCACATTATCATCACAAATCACAATTGTAAGCATAGATTATCAACATCAAGAATGAATTATCTACCTAATGACAATTAAACAAAAGTGTAGAACCCATTCAAAACTACGTCATAACCCACCATACACATTCACAAATGTATCCGATAAGAGCACACATCATTCAAGAAGATAATACTAATTGTAATTAGAAGTATGGATTAACATAATCAAGCACAAATTACCTACTTTACTACAGTTAACTAATGATAATAAGCTAATTTATAGAACAACCCATCAAGATAAAGCCTTTATCCATCAAATTAATTGACAATTGTATCAACTAAGTATCATGCTATGGCCATCACTAAACACAACTAAAAGAAGTATCTAGTATAGAGTATAATTCTAAATCAATCACACATAGACATGCAATTTTCATATAGAATCAATGAAAGAATTAATTGTCAATCATCTAATGAAGACTAAAATACCTAATTAATCATATATAGACATACAATCAACTAGAGATTTTAATGGAAGAATTTATCAATACAAGCCCTAATTTGTCAAATCAAGCATGTATATATAAAGAAATCACAAGGCCATACAGTTAATTACAACATCTTAATTCCCCAAGAAAAGAAATACAAAGGTTTAGGTTACATGAACTTAGGGCTCATCCAAGCCCTAAGTGAAGAACTATCTCATGGAGAAGATGAACATGGTGTCAACAAGCTCCATCTCCATCTTTTGGCTCCTTCTTCTTCTTCCTTCAATTGTAGACAGAGCCTCTGTCAAATGTTCTTCAAACCCTAGTTTTCTCCTCTCCCAGAGAGAACGTGATATCTTTGGTACAGAAAATAAAACTTAATAATGATAAAAACAAAACTCTCTCCAAACTAATGAAAAACTAACCCTAAAAATAATGGGCTTGTTTCCCTTAAGTAACAAACTCTATTAAAGCCCATAAGTTACAAAAAAATAAGCCCAAATAATAAAATCCGGTAGCCAAGTAAAAGATAAATCCCGTAATGCTGCCAGGGGCTTGGGGATCGATCCCCCAGCCTTGGGGATCGATCCCCAGGGGGTATTTTTTTACACCTTTCTGCCAATTGTAGGGGATCGATCTCCTAGTGCTAGAAATCTTTTTTAAGCCCCGTTTAACTCCATTTAGCCCCCGGGCTAATCGGTTTGCTTCTTGATAATTGGGAACATCATCAAAGGCCCGAAAAAAGGTAAAATTGGTCATTTTTGAAGGATGAGCGCACTATACGAACAAAGGGTTGCGGCCTCTTTTTGACATTTTCTAAGCTTTATCCAATTGTCTTTGCTTGACTCCAAAAAGACTTTAATGAACCGTTCTTAGCTCATTTTAACTTTATTGCCCTGAAATACACATAAACATAAATTAGGACTAAAACATGAAATTAAGATAGATGCAAAGACTGAAATACCCTAGCTTAGGTGCTGAAATGTGCAACATTTAAGCACTTATTAGTATATATTGTATACATGCTTTTAATATGATAGTCTTGCATATTATAGGAAACCCTCACATATTGACTTAGCATTTATTGATTTAAGTATGTATGATATGTATAAACCATATGTAGAAGGATTATATACTTTAATAGTATGCTAAATTTTTGTATTTTCACATGTAGTGATGATATAGAAATCTTATAGAATTATTAATGTCATATGTAATTTCCATTGACTTGAATTGCTATATTTGTTGATATGATAATTCTATATTCTTGTGGATTACTAATTGTAGTTACCTTAGAAGCTTATTACTATAATATTGAGATTTAGTATATAAAGCTTATTATTGAGACATGATTTAAAATTGACAAGTTGGTAGTATTGTATTGTGCATAATATCATGATGAGAACTTGTCATTTCATATGCCATTTTAGACTTGGAACCCTAAGACATGGTTTATGTGGCTTCAAAATACTTGTGCATGGAAGGTGGTTTATATGCCTTAATTATAGTGTATGAGATTTGAACTTGATTATGATTTTGGATTCTTTTGGGACATTGTTACAATGATATGGCTAAAGTTTGGCTTTAGTGCTGGAAGTATGAGTTCTCCCCAATTGAGATAGTGCGCACTAGGATGGTCTTTAGTGCTGGAAGTATGAGTTCTCCCCAATTGAGATAGTGCGCACTAGGATGGTCTTCCCAGTGGGATAATGCCCGAAATAACCATTTTGATCTTGGTTTAGTCCGAGACGTGATGTCCAAGTCTTTCACTAATTGATTTCACATTAAATTCTAAGTTGACAACCAATGTTTAATTGTAACTTGTAATTCTTGTTATTGGCGAATTGATGTTGTTAAGTACGTTGATGTTATTATATGTTGTTAAAGAATTATTTAAGTTAGCTTAAGATGATCCCTTAGAACACCTTGAACATAGACGTTAAGTGAAATGATCCCTTGTATTCGTCTATATTGATCTTACAATGATATTTAAACTTTAGGGTATATGCATATGCTTCTTCCTACGAGTAACTTGATACTCACTCTAGTGGTTTGGGTTGTTTCTCAGGTAAAGAGACTATGTTCTTGGATGCTCATCATCCTTAGAGGCTTATGAGCTATTTGAAACATTTTTGTGTATTGACATGCAAGTGTTTAACATGACTTTCTTTGATGTCACATTTTGTATACCATGGTTGTATGGTACTTTAGAAGCTTATGTAGCTTTCTTGATGTGTAATGATACTTTAATATCTACTTTTGACATTATAAGCATGTATATAAAGAGACCAAGGGTCAAACATGTGTACTTTTGTGCTCGTACTCTTTTGGTATCAAACTTTTGCTTCAAAATGTATTTGAACTAATTTTGGAGATTTGATATATAAAAATCTTGTAATTGATATGTATGAGGCCATGGACCATTGTTTTACATTTAAATATTCATCTCAAAGTTGTTGACATGTTCAGATATTCAAATCTTATTGAAAAATCAGTTTTTAACATTCATTTTAAACCAATTCATCATGGGTTTCAAAGCATAGGTTGAAGCTTAACACCTTTGGCACTTAGCAGGTTTTCCAGTAGCATTTCGTGGTGTTTCGTTTTGGTCGACCAATGGCAAATGGAATCATTAACGCACAGTAATTCATCATTCCAGTAGCCAATTTTACTGTTCAAGGCTTATTTCGGTCGACCGAAACTTTATTTCGGTTTACCGAAACAACCAACACTTAAATTCATGTTTTCAGCAAAATTTTTGGTCATTTCAGTCAATCAAAACTCCATTTTGGTTAACCTAAATAGCTTTCATACTCCAGCTTCTTCAGTTCAGTTTCAGCACTGATGTTTCGAGTTTGAATGGCTATATCTCCTTCATTTCTTATCCAAATAGGGTGATTCTTGAGCCTAAATTCATGTATTTTGAGTCAGATTTCCAATGGTACTAATTCCATTCTCAAATTCCAATCACAGTGGGAGTTATTCATGTTTTAGTGAGGTAGTGTTAGTTTTTGCTTAAACCGGAATTCTTGGCCAATGTTCTTAGAATCTTTTGGAATGTTGTGAAATGATTAGATTAGGTTGTATTCACCTTATTTGACTTGTTTAGAGTTAATTTTCTACTTTTAATTGTCAATTGACCATTTTGCCCTTTATTGACGAATTTTGCCCGTTTTAACTCTAGTTTCCTCTTTTGCTTACTTTAACTTCCATGACCTCTTGGAATGTCACATTGATGTCTTAGAGATAGTTTTTATCTCAAGAGACTATGGTTTTCTCTTTTGCTTCCGCATTTCGGATCCGTTATCGGGTCAACTTTCGGGTCATCACTGATGCACCGGGTTGAAAAACTTTGGCCGTCACAATTTCCTTACTCTTCCTTTCTAATTATTCAAGCATAATAAAATTTTAAGCCCATAGAAATTACAAGTTGCAGTAGCCAAATGAAAACCAAACTTCACATCTCATAATTCATGGACAATGGAGAACATCAACTTTTCTAACTTTCACAATTGTTAGAATGTTAGATTGGATGCAGATTTAGCTTTTCTTATCACATGAACACAACTTTTAACTTTTCTTAATGTGAACCCTCTTTGTCACATGGCCCCAACATTTTAAAAAATTAATTATTCCCATTATATATATATATATTTTTTTCAAACATGAAATTCAATGAATGAAAACCACACTTCATTCGCAATAATTCCCCACCTCCATTTGTGCACAAAAAATCAAGAATGGTCACTTAAAGGCATGTGACCCCCTATAAACTGCAAAAATATTATGAGATCCAAATTTCATAATCCAACATGCTAACTTGTAGTTAACTTACAAAATTCCTCTTAGCTTTCTCGTGTGCCCATCTACTTTGTTCCTTAAAATGTGTGTCCTTGTACAAGCGAATAGCAGGATCCTCATCCCTTTCACCGTCCTCATCTTCTTTGCTTTCTTTGAGTTTGACCTGCAATACAAAGAAATAGTGACCATTAGAAAAATATATGGTTTAGAATATAGAATATAAAATAAAAAATTTGTAATGAATGAGTGTAAAAAAACTTTCAAAGATATGGTTTGGCATTATTTTCTCGAGACTTGGGGGAAGTGGTTGATGAAATAAAATGCTAAAAGGGAAATTCTACTATAAAACTAAAACAATTTTTAGTCTGGCTAACTTATATAGAAAATAGTACAGGTTGTCAAAAAAAAAAAAAAAAGATGATGATGATGAAGTAAGTTGGACCCATTAAATTCGAATTTCACATAATTATAATTCCAAACTAAAATCTATTTTGTGCAACCAAAAACCCCTTTATAGACTTCAAAGGCCAAAAGTATTTCACCCAGTTCTTGTAAGTGTTATAAATCTGTCCAAATTAGTTTATATTCTAGCAATTGTCCACGAAACACTAGAACCAAAAAAGTAGCAAGTATTACAGTGTTGGCTTCTCAAGAAAGTTAAAACCAAATCTAGTGACAGAAGCATTCATTACAAACAAGACAATATATATATTGTTTATGATTTCTACCAGAATTACGTATCATTTTGATTCTTTGATGGAACAATGTTCTGCAAGTGTTGAACATGAAAACTAATATATTTAAGGGCCTAGAGCCTGTTTAAAACTTAATGTGTGAGAATAAGAGAGTGCAAATAGTGGGAGATGCAAATACAAATGTAAGAGAGTAAAATTGAAATAAGAAGTAAACCACAAAGAGATAGATTAAAAGCAACACAAACTAATAAATCAAAGCATTAGAAATGCAGAGAGCTAGGAATGAGTATTGTTGAAGAAACTAAAGAGATAATTCTGGAAGTACCTTTTCTCTAACTCATGGAATGACAAACATGAAGAGACTAATTAATTGCAGATGTTGTGCGTGAGAGAAAGAGATTGAGGGCTTGTAGATTCAGATGTAAATGTTAAAGCCTGATTCAAAAGTAAACGAGAAAGATTATAAGAAGAGACAAGGAGAAGATTAAAAAAATAAAAAATAAGATGACTTTTGAATCATCAAACAAAACCATTGGTGGTGACATTAATATCATTAGCACGGTGAAAAATAATCCCAAGTAATATTCTTTATTACCCTTTTAAAACTATGTAAGGTCCAAAAGTCTAGGATATTATTTATCCTCAAGTAAAATTAATATCCATATTCCAATCTAATAATTAATAGTGTGACTAATGGGACAAATTAATACTATGCTAAACTATTCAACTTCAATACTAGAGAATCTTTTCTAGCTCCACTGTCCAAACTCTCTTCGCACCCTCCCATGGATGACATTCGATTAAAAAAAAAAAAAAAAAAAAGAGGATAGTTTGAGTAAATAGGTTAAAAAAAACCAACAAAACAAATCAACTAATTTAAAAAAAAATTCTTATTTTATTAAAGTTTGAGTAAATAGGTTAAACAAATCAACTAATTTAGATGATAAAAGTGGAAAACCAAAAAATTCCAAATCTGTTGTATAACATTATAGATTTAGTTAAAGAAAGTCCAATGGAATAAAAAAAAATAGAAGAAATTAAAAACTTTTATGGATGACCAAATGGTTTGCAAAGGGGATGGTCACAACAGGGGTTCATTTAAGCAGCAACTATTTGCTGGTTTAGTTGAGAACTTCCCATCATTTTCTGTCCTTTGCTTTAGAGGAAATTGATACTCATCAAATAAAGAAATCTAATATATAAAAGTAGGATGTGCTTAGTTTAGTCCAATACATTTTACATTTTCTTAACCGTAGATAATACCCCCATAGACAAACTTTATTCATAAAAGTATCCTTATTCCTTTACTTAAAAAAAAAAATAAGGTATGCTTATTCCTTACATCCCACTTACATGAATTGTGGTTTCCTATATTGACTCTCTTGCAACTATTCTATGATTCAACTTGGAAAAAAGGTGAATATATGTTTTGCTCTCTTTCTACTTCCCAAGTAAGTAGTTTCTCTTGGTTTTCTCTATAAAATTCTCAAAAAATTAGCTGCTTCTGGTTATTTTTTGTTCTTAACTTGATCTTTGTTTCAAATTGTCTTGGAATATAATTACTATCTTACAATGTGAGATAAATTTCAGTAGTATGATATCTATGATCTAAAAGTTATTTTTATGCTCACATGTATTGTCCGTCATTACTATGATTAGTTCATTTCAGTGTTCTCCGTTATCATCCAAGTGATTTTGATATGCTATCCAACTCAAAATAGTTGTAGTTTAACACTATCAGCCAAAATTTCATGGACAAACATGTTATCCTCTATTGTGATTGATCCCTGCCATCTATGATTTCCATTAAATTATTCTGGGTCATGAGACGCAATGATCTTGGTCATTCCTTTTTGAAGTTAGATAAAGCTTTTTTTCTATATATGTGTGTGTATAAATAAAGAGGCCATTAGGCAATATAGTCTCCATTAATCAGGGGTGCTAGAACTGGAAGGGACAAAACTATATTGTGACATAATTTTTGGCGTTATTTTTGTAAAGTGCTACTATGGGATTGGAACAACCAAAAAGTGGTTGACGATATGGGATTGAATAGTGAGAATGACATAGTATAGTATATTGTATTCTTGTCTTATAGCAGTAGTCAGATATTTATCAACATGTTCAACTTGTCTAATGATTTCTATTTCTTTTTTCATTTTCATTTTCATTTCATTGTTGATTTAGTTACATGTTCGGTTCAGATATTTCAGTTTATGAAATTAAGTAGTTCTTAGTCAAAAAGTAGCAAATACTTTTCCTCCACAACACAAATCAATCAACAAGAAGCCTCTACATACAATGATCCCATACTCCCATGCTTTTCAACAAATACAAGAAAGTAAATTGCCTCCACACGGGCCGATGATAAATAATGAAATTAAAATGCCTCTACACGGGCCGATGATTTAAAAATTGGTCACTTCAAGGCATGTGACCCCCTAATACATCGCAAAGAGTTTAAAAATTAGTCACTTCAGGGCACGTGACCCCTTTTTTGCAAATTGGAAGCATGAAAACTTACAATCATCTCTGAAGCAACAACATCAATAACATTACCATCCTTATTTGTATTTGTGCCTATGAATAAATCTGCACGAGAAAGCTGAACCCCTTCTTTTTCCTTAATCTATAAAAGAAACATAGACATAGACATTGTGATATATATATTATTTACCACTAACATTTATAATCATTCAGATCATTTTTTCTGAGTTTACGCATGCATGCATGTATGTATAGCTTGTGTGTATTCCTTTATTTCGTAACTAAATTAAAATTTTATGTGTTTTTTGAAGTGATAAAATTGGTGGTATATTTAATAATTTGTGTCAAAATAATGTAGATAAATATTAGTATGTCAGGATATTAGTGTAAAATTGTGGTATATTCAATAATTTATCTCAAAATGATGTAGATAAATATTAGCTTGTCAAGGATTAGTGCAAAATTTAGATCATTTTGCAGTTACCAATATAATACTAGTTAAATTAATTTTTTTTATTCTCACAAAGTCATTCTGGTAAGCCAATTCTAGTGAAAAGACTTTTGACATTTGGAAGCCACGCCAAACATTTCCGTAGTAAAGAATGAACGGGAATTATAAACATAATATACAAAATTTTATTGTCATGAGTTTTATTCCCAAAAATACAAGTACAGATGTTCTCAGTAACAATAACACAACATAATTGTCATACCAGATCACTATTAAATAATAATAATTAAAGAAACTAAAGAAATAATAAAAGAGAATAAACTAGATAAACCTACAAAAATACATAATACACCCAACTAAACTAAAAGGTCCCTAATACAAAGCTTCCAAATCCTAATGCTGCCAAATAAGGTTTGAATAAACCATCTGCATTGTTAGCAAAACGATACTGGTACTTGGAATTCTCAACAAGCATATATGAGAACACACAAATCTAAACTAGCCGAATGGAATGCTTTCAAACTCCTTCACGAAGAATAAGGATCTAACTGTGTCACTTTCTTAAACTTGACTATAATAGTGTCAGGCCAGCGAAAGAATTAAAATTCTTAATTAGTGTCAATAGGGTTTCATAAAAAAATTATAAAAACCACTAGAAAAGATTCAAAATTAATACTAGACAAAATGATATACATATGTTTTCGTATTTTATTATTAATTATTAAAAGACAACAAAAAAATCGTAGACAATGCCTAAAATTATAGTGTAAAAGTGTCAGATCACAAGTATTTAGCACAACTATCAAACAGGGATAACTATTAAATATTTTCTCTCATCATTCAAAAAAACTAAATTAAAAGACATCTAGACTATAAAAACCAAAAACCCTGAGTGAGAATGTATATACCCCAATCACAATTATAATCCAGTCGATTGGATTGTTGTATATATTAAAAATCACATACTTGTAGTTCAATTTTTTGCAAACAGAATTCCTAAAACACAGGACACATGTATTGTTTAAACCTCAAATACGTCACAGTAGAAAGAAAACACAAAAGCCTCAGACCGTCCTAGATCAAAAAAAAAAAAAAAAAACCAAAGAAAAGTAAAGAAAAATTTCAAAGACTAAAACGAAAAAGTTCAAACAATCAAACATAGGAAGTTAGGAGCATACCTGTCTAGACTTCAGAAAGCTTTAAGGAGGAGTCAATGAGCTATCCAAGGCTTTCGCGATGTCCAGTGGTTGGGGGCAAGGAGCTAGGGCTTTCGCGAAGAGAGTCGTCTGCCGACAGTCCTATATTACTCAATATTATCACCAGAATAACAACAATCTTAGCTACAGTGATCTACACAGCTAATCAAAATCAGAAGGCGAATAGTTACTGACCTAAAAAAATTCTCGTCCGATCTGTTAGTGTAAACGAGGTTTTGGAAACCCCCAACGACGACTCTTTCTCTCTTTGTGTGTGGAGTAGCAATGACTTTATCTCTCTAAACCACCGGTGATGGAAGGGCGAGACCGGTGATGGAAGGAGAGAGAGCTGTGATGGAAGGAGAGAGCGCGGCTGAAGGAGTTAGGGCTATTGCAAAATGAAATGGGAAAGTGGAATACAGTGTTAATTGGCCCCCCAAAACGACGTAGTTTAGGGCCCAAATATTACAAATCAACGGAGGGAAAAAATGGAGGGAAGGGAAAAAAAAATGGAGGGAAGGGAAAAAGCAGAAGGGCTATTACCAACGTTCTTAAAAGAGTGCTGGTAAAAGCTTATTTACGAGGCAAAAAAGGCACCTTAGATGTGAAAACTTTTATTGCTTATTTATGGGGAAAAAAAGGCGCCGTAGATGTGAAATTTATCCATGAGCTCTTTAATACACCGTAAAAGAACTTAAGTTCATTTTTTCTTTATTTCCTGTGTATATTTTTTAAGTAATTTTATTAATTGTGCCTATTTAATTGGGCGGACAAGTTTTATTGCTTATTTATGGGGAAAAAAAAAGGCCTTAAATGTGAAATTTTAGTACTTTATCAACGAGGAACATTTATTCCGTTAAAGGTGTACAAATATGCCGTAAATATATCTAAATATTCACAGGCTCTTTAATACACCGTAAAAATATTTTTCTACGACGATTCTATAAAATCCTCGTGAAACATGTCCTATAATGTAACAATTACGAGGATTCTTTTAAAAACTCCATAAATTGTGGTAATCACGAGGCAAAATAAAGAAGCCCCGTAAATACTATGTCGTAAAAGCCCACTTTTCTTGTAGTGTGGACTCTCAGGTCAAGCAATTTTTAAATTCTAAGTATCATGGTCCTCAAAAGATCAAAATCATGGCTCAAAATGGATCTCAAATCTCAATCATGCATTTAAAGTTCAAACTTTAAATAGAATGCAACAAAGTCACCTTACCCCCAAACTTAAACCGCACATTGTCCTCAATATGCAATGAGAACAATGGAAAAGATGGAAAGAGTATACCGTTGTGGCAAAGACATGAAGCCCGGTAATGATCCATTGGGAAAAAGTGCACCCCTAAACTTGGAATTAATACCCTACTTAAATAACCACGCTAGCAAACACACATCAAATATCAAATGGGATAAGAATAAACAAATCAAGCATTTTAAGGCAATATGACACAATGGTAAAACAAATTTTTCTATTTTTCATTTTATGAAAGCATGTATAGACAAAATGCAAGAAATAAAATGCAAAGATGTATAAACAAAATGAAAAAGAAAAATAAAAAAGTCAGAATAAAACTATATGCACAATGAAAGAAAAAGAAACAATATGTTTTTTTTTTTTGCTTTCATCGATCGAAATTTTCAATAATTGATTGAGACTTTCACGATCGATCGAAAAGCTTATAGAATGATGCCTTGGGAACAAAAATTTCCGACACAATTCCAATCGATTGAAATTATTATCGATCGATTCAGACCATTTTTGATCGATCGGAATAAGCATCGATCAATCGAGAATGTCTTCGATCGATCAAACTAGATGCTGCCTGGGCACAAAATGCTGAATTTTGAAAAAATTTCAAAGGTAGAAATTTTTCTAAGGCCCCAAAAAGCATGAATATGGTCTAAAAACCTGATTTTTGACAATGAAGTGCAATGGAACATATCTAGATGACGCAAGAAATAAATAAAATAAAAAAAAATGGGGAAGAAGTAAAGTCAGAAACTCTACGAAAGCTAGTATTTAGCGTCTCTTGCAAGACGTTGGTTCAACTCACTAGTCAAAAGTATCAAAAACTGGATATGAAACATCTTTATTGACCCTCTTTTCAATTTTCTCATTTAATGCCTTACTTACGACAATGAAATCATCATCTAAAAGAATGACTTGAAAAGAAATGAAAGAGATGATTTTGTTCCTTTCATCCACGGTCTTGAAAACAAAATCAATCCTGGTTGGCCTTGCCTCATTTTTGTGATCTTGAAGTGTATTCAAAGAATCACTTCCTTTGTGAATTGTCAAGGCAATGTCTTTCAAAAACTCATTTGGAATATCAAGAAACACCTTCTCTTCATCCTTTTTCTCTTCCTCCAAAATCACCATCTCCTCACCTTCCAAGTTAGCTAAGGAGTGCATTAGAGAGTTTATTTCATTTTTGGAGCTTTCAGGTCAAAAACACAATTTTTATACATTTCAAAAAGGCATGTCTAAAGAGGGTCTTTGAAGATAATAGAAGGGAGGGCTCTTTTCAACAAATCCCTCCTCCTTTCCTACCTCTATAGTGGTCAACATCTCCTCACTCTCTAAAGTATCAAAGACTGAAATCAAATCATGATCAAAATAAGGAAAATCCTTATAAGTCATGTTGTGCTCTATTGGACTAGCCATTGGTGGACTCATTAATTCCTTAAATTGCTCACTTGTTACTTCTTCCTCTTCACTCTCATCATCCTCATCTATAGGAATTGAAGTTCTTACCATTTTTTCATTTGCCTCTTCCTCCTTCTCTTGACAAGAAATAGTTCTTGCAATTTGCTCAACTTGAGCTTCAAGCTTGGCTAAGATTTGAGAATGTGAAAGAATAAGTCGAGTTTGTGAATTAAGCACAACAAGTAGAACTAACATTTTTTCTTGAAATTCGGGTGAGTACCTAGAAGGTGGTGGAGTTGGTTCATCATAAAATGGTGGGGGAGGGCAATAGTAATAAGAAGGATTAAAAGAGCGATCAAGTCCATAATAAAATGATGCATGTTGAACATTGGACTCAATCTCATAAGGATTAAAATATGATGGAGGAGCATAAGGTGAAGGAATCCAAATGCAAGAAAATATTGGCCTTCACACGGGCCGATGCTTGGACAAAAATTTAAGCAATATAATGAGCCTCAACAAGGGCTATCACAAGCATGCAAAGAAGTGAAACAATTAAATTATAAGATTTTCAAGAAATGCTCACAAAGGTCCTTAAGCAACTTCATATTCCAATTCTAGCTTTAAGCTCCACTGATTGCTTTAAGATCCAATGTTTGCCTTCTTTGTAGTCAAATACCTAATTAAACAAATAATATCAAGAATGAGAAAAGAATATATAATGGAAAATAAAATAAAAATAGAAGCAATCAAATGAACACTATTGTCTAGTCTAATTCTGACAAAACCGTTAATCCCCGACAATGGCACCAAAATTATGATGTGACCCGAGCGTGTACACAAAATAATTCACAACACTTTAAGTTTAGAAATTAGTGTCAAGTGGGCATCATACTTTAAATTTATAAACCGCTTAATACCTATACTATATAGTTTGAGTGAGAAGGGATCGTTCAAAGAGATTACGCGTGTTGGAATTTAATTTCAACTCTAATGTATCAATTGGTTGCAAAGGAGAGTTGGGTTAATTGATTACTCTAGAAAAAAATTAAATAAAATGCAACTAAAATAAACTAAGTTGAGTTAGGGATTTAAGAGATGAGAAGTAAAGTCTTAGGGCTAAGCTCGTTCACCAAACCACACACTTTCAACTAATTTGGGGAAAACCTTCTTGTGAACAAAATGTGATTACCAATTACAATATTAAGCATGGACCATCAAATTCAATAATGAATTGTCTACTTAACCAACAATTAAACTAAGTGTAGCACAATCCATCAATCCTAAGCATGACCCATCAAACTAGTAACAATTATAGCACACATCAATCTAGAGACACATGGAATTTGCAATAATAAGCCATGGAATATCAAATCAAATATAGATTGCCTACCTACCTACAAGCTAAACATGGCTCCATCTTCTTCCTCTTTTTCTTTGTTGAATTCTAGAGAGAGAGTGTGTGTAGTTCTTGAGATGTGTTTTTGGTGCCTCCATTTTCTCTTTTCTTCTAACCTTAATCTCTAACTTTTCTAGAGAGAGAAACTAACTATTATAATGTAAAAATAAAATACTAATTGAAGTCAAAAAGATAGATTACAAAATGGTTCAATTCCCTTTAAATACAAGGTTCTTGGAGTAGTGAACAAGTCAGAAAATAAGCCTTTAAAATATCTAATCCCACAGCTATGTGGTAAGTGGAGTTCGGGCGCGCAGGAATAAAACAGCTCGCTGTCAGCATATCTTTGATCGATCAAAGAAATCTACTATCGATCCAAACCCATTGGTGGCGAAATTCTGCATTTTTAACCTTTTTTTCAAATTTTTCTAGAATTTTCTCGGAACTTTTGCTTGACTCTAAAAATGTTGTAATGGACCATTTTGAGCCCCGTTTGAATCTTATTTACCTAAAAATTACATAAACATAAATTAGTACTAAAACAGAAAAATAAAGAAATCCACATTTCTTAAGAGTGATATCCATAGCAAATTTTTTAAAAACAAAAATAGAGATTTTTTAATTTTTTCTTTTTAACTATAACACAAGGAATAACTCAATATGTATAAAGGATGGTTCTGATACCAATTGTGAGTTAGACAATGCAGAATGGTTGCGGAATATAGTATGGATAAACAACCTAGGGGGGGTGAATAGGTCCAACTCTCATTTGCCTGATTTTTGATTAATTTAAATTTATTTAAATTATTTACTCACAAAATAAACGTAAATTGCAAATAAAGTAAAGAGAGAGTTTAAAGTGACACCAGTTTTTAGTGAGTAAACTCCGATTGACAGAAGAGATCAATCGTTATGGGAAAAATCTCTTGGACTACGTCCAGAGCAAAAAGATCCACTATGTATGAAGCAAAGTACAATCGACTTTGACTCAAACTCACACCCTATTATTCTACCATAAACCAATTGCTGACGATCCCTGACTTTGTGACTCCCCCTGACTTGTGACTCCCCCGTCCAACGGTTCACAACCTCAGACTTACTTTTGATCTTTGTAGAAAGATTAGTGGTAGATCAACCAACACTCCATGAGTGCCTTGATTCCTTTAAAGTATGATCTTATTCTCCTTTTCTTTAAAAACAAATTTTCTGAAGCTCGAAATAATTCTGTTTTATGACTAGTAAATAAGAAATCTTTAATCATGCCAATCCTAACCGAACAATGAATAATCAACCTAAAACATACTGTATATGTGTGTTCTCAAAAACAGAAAAATAATAAACTCTCAAAAACACACACAAAA